CCTACAGACAAGAGAACAAATCAAGATAGTTCATAAGTTCACATACCCAACAACGTGGTAAATGCAACATACTGCAATCTTTGCAGATGAATTGGAATATCATTTGCAATATCATGATGAATAATCGGGAAAAAAGGTGGCCAATTTTTCTCCTCCAGAACAATTCCAGCTGCAAAACAAGGAGAACAAATCAGGTCATAAGACCTTTGACACCGGTGAACATAATTAGTTTTGAAGTGTTCAGTATTGCAAAATAGATGTGATCTAGAATGTGCTTTCTGTCTTCAATATTTTGTGGCATATTTCTTAATCCACCTTCGAGGTGGTTGTTGATAACAAGCTTGACAAGCAATTCAATTCTAGAGTGATTTTAGAGGGAACCTACTCATCATCTGAATTCCAATTGGAACACAAAAACTTGACCGTTTTCAGAGTAATGCGTACTTCTTGTACTATGATTATACATGCTATGGTATCAAATCCTCCGATGGGATGAATTTTCCCAATTTTTTTAATGTAAAATTATATTTAAGTATTGTGTGCAATAATATCTATGTAAACAAAAATAGTTTAATTAAACTTCTTTAAACCGAAGTCATGATCTCAGGATGACAGATTGCTGCTAAGTTTATGAAATATATTCTGAGAATTTTACACTGACAACTCCGCATCAACAGCAAAACAAGTTACCTCGATTTGCAGCATCTTCTCTCCGTTTTACTTCCTGCATTTAATCAAGAATCTTGAAGAATTAAATCAAGTCATAAGGATGCCTACGCACAAAATCATTTCAAGGAGTAGAGGAAAAGATGACAAAAGGGACTTAGTTTTGGAATATGGCAATTCAATATCATGTATATATTGAAATAACACCAGAGCCTTTTTTTTTCCAATAACACCAGAGCTTGGTTCACTTGTCGTGGTTAAATTGTATGATAAATTCATAAGATTTGCCAAAATCAATTTATTTTAGTTTCAATATATAATTGTAACATTAATCTAAATTAAACAAGGAAATGATGCTGATTCTTTACCAATGAGAATCAAGTTTGAAATCAGTCACCAAAGTAACAACTGCAAAATGATAACCTATTAAAAAAAATTTGGACTTTCTACGAAAATCACCTGTTCCCGCCTTCTCAATTCAGCCTCTTTAACTTGGAGCTCCTTCTCTTTCTTCTTCAAATCCTAAAATTTTCAGAGCTAGTACAATTAGAAAATCCAGGAGATTACTGATAGAATAAAGGATAAGGTACACACTAAAAACCCAAAAACCTTAGATTTCGTTCCATCAGAATTTGAATCAAGCGGTATGTCAACTGTTGCGCCACGACCATAATTAAAATCAATGGGTTCTGGAGGAAGAGGTGAAAGCCTGGAATTTGTGGCAGGGGCAACACTCCCATGATTCTGGAAATTTACCAATAATACATTGGGTCAAAAAATTGGTAAATAAGTTCAGAAAGATAACATTTTAATCAAATAAGGACTGTACTACACCACAATCATCTTAATGGATACAACAGATGAATTAAACCATTAAAACCAGGTTGAATTTAAGACCACATGTTAAAAGCTTTTCAGCTTATCCATATACTAATGAATGAACAGTTATTGACAAAAATGTAGTAAATAAAGAGCAAGAATCACATATTAGCTGGGAAGACTGGAAAAATAAGAAAAATAAAATGCTCGATAGTCAAGAAATTCAATTTTACATTTTTATTCGTATAGTTGAAACGTGTAGACGTTTTTTTTCTTTTACAAAATTGGAAACTTGAAACTGGAAAAAAAAAATAGCGAAGGCAGCAACTTATTCAACAAAGTTGCAAGGTTATCCAAACACGATGAACGGAATACTTAAATCTCTTTCCCTTATCAATTTTTCTTTTGTTTTGGGGGGGAGCAACTAGCTACTGCAGCAGCTTAATATAAAATATTAGATTCCTTCTCTCATATGAAAAAAAAGCACCTCCGTCATAATTTGATTGCCCTAATGTCTTCACCCAACTGCCGGAACCTGGTTTAAAGATGGATCGAAAAGTGGGTTTATAAGCTGAACACCGAAATGTCTACAATAGAGCGCCGACAGTATATATGCCAATAAACCCATAAATTCAAGACCGAAATCCAAAAATAGCATGAGTTTCCAAGTTATTGGATATCCATCTTTATGAAACCGAACCTATCAACCATAGCATCTTTGAACCGCCATCAAGTCCGTAATTCATGTTGAGAAAAACCAAAATATTGGGGGAAAGATCCTCTACGCGCTTCTCTTTCAGAGAATTCCGAAAATAAAAATAAAATAAAAGAGATCTAATCCAACCATCAAAAACAAAGTAGCACAAATCCACTAAGCTGAACGGAAATCCGAATCAATCGCACACTCAACCAACCTTGTCTATTGAATAGAAAATCACAACCAACCCAACATATACTGTTGACCAGCACTTCAATTTCGCAAAATACCCGGAACCAACCAAATACACTAAGAAGTTAGAAGCAAATTCGAGTAAAATTCGACACCACGATCATCAAAGATAGATAAAACTCACTGCGAATGGGTTGACTTCCTCTTCTTCATCGAAAGGGTTTCTTTCGTACCGACCAGCCATGGCGGAAGTGGTTGAAGACGCAAGCTAGAGTCGCAGAACCTCAGATCTGATTTGAACAGAGGAAGATTGAAAAAAAAAAAGCTTAGGGAGGAAGCAATTCGAAGCCCGAGCCCGAAGAACTTTGACGGTTCAATTGGGAAAATGGACTTTCGGAAGAATTAGAAAATCGAATCGATAGAGAGAGAAAAAAGAGGGAGTAGTTGTCTTTTAGTCAGCTTAAAACCTTTCGGACGGGAGGAATTAAATTCAGAGGAAACAGCGGGAGAAAAAACCACAGAGAACACCAAATAAGATTTTTACAAAATTTTAAATAAAAATGTCAGTTGAAAATCTTTTATATTTTAATTTCCAAGAAAATAAAAATTCTCATACCGGCAGGCGAATGGGCCCACTCGGCATGCAACCCTTTTTTTTTCTTTTCTTTTTTTTTAATTTTGTTACTATTTCTCTTGTTCGACGGCTGGCAGCTTAAGAAGTTCCGCAAAGCTTGAACGAGTTATATCTATACAAATTAAAACATGGTATGGCCTTTATAGTTTGATTTTCATATTCCCGACCTAAACATAAATTAGATAAGTTACAATCTTCATTCTTATTTATTGAACTAAAAAATTAGTTTGGTTTATATATTAAAGTTTTATCAAACGTTTTACTTGCAAGAAGTAATAAAAAGTTTATGTAAATAATTATTTGTAGATGTTGTAAACAAGTACATGAAATTTTAATAAGTCATATTAGTCTAATTTAAAGTAAATTTTGGAACTTTAGTTTGATGGAAGAAGTTGATAGGAGACCAAAGTTAAGTTTGTTTTAGAGTATAATCTTCTATTTTTATTTAATTTTAGTGACTTCTTTAGAACTGTAAAATAAATAAATAAATTGATTATTAATTATCTGTGTATTTTAGAAAATTGATATGGCCTACCACTATATTATAAATTATTTAGAAATTTTGTAAATATGTTAATTGTTATGATCTTACTAGTCATCTAATTTTTTTTAACTAATTAATATTTTTTTTCACATAAAAATAACATATATGAATTTTGTCATAGCTTTTGACTTATCACCAATCAATTGACATTTCAACATAATAATAATTATTATTCTATGTTCAAGATTCTAAATAATACTAATATGAAAAATAAAACAAAGAGTAATTTCAATATAAAACCATCAGTATGTGTATTATATAAAAATATTTAAATATATTATAATTTTTCATTCTTAATTTATGGACTAGATAGTATGGTTCCTTAAGAAAAACTTATGGTTGTGATTAAAATGTAGTATTTAAATTTTAAAAATTTAAATTAAGTTCATTGAATTATAACTTTATAAAGTCATTAATTAAAGATACTGCGATAGATTAATCAAATATTAACTAATTTGATACAAGGTGAGACGACCGATAAATAAAATAATATTTTTATACGAAATAATATATAAAAAAGTATTTGATACATGATTGGATGAGTTATTGTGGTTTTAGTATGTGAGAAAACAACCAAACCCCTTTGTTTTAAAGTGTGGATTTGGTGAGATGAGACCACTGCAAAATTTTCACTAACCATTCAAAGGAATTGGTGGTTTTGGTTAGTTGATGGTGAATGTTCCATGAACTTGTCAAAAATAAATTTGAATAAATAGGACTCATTAGATGAAAGAAAATATGAGGTGCTTCAATCGAGGGGTAAAACTAGGCAAAGAGATTAACTCTCCTTGCACTAATTTCTAGTGGGATTATTTATTACTATTTTCTTTCTAAAAACAATTTCAAATACATTTTTAAGTTTTGTACTCATAAAAAGTTTGAATTATATCTCTAAAATGGATGGTTGGTATGTAATAAATTATAATAAAGTACAACAGTCACATATCGGATAGAATATGAAAAATAAATGTAAGAATATAGCTAAGCTTATAAACAATTTTACAATGGCAGGAAACTTAATTGATGGGGTAATATTCACAAGAAACAATGATCAAACAATTAAAAGGCAAACCTCTTTACCCAAATAAGAAAAACAATGTGAATATGTCAAAACTACTCCAACTTTTTGGCACCAACTTTTGATGCTCAAAACTTTGCTTCATCTTCTACCAAGATCCTCTGCTAAACCATTCCAACTTCTCACTTGATATCTTCCCTAGAGCATTTGTAAGAGTTCCTGTACAATTTCTGAGATTGGCGGCCGAAATTCGGCCTCTCGCTGCCACAAGAATGGTCGAAAATATCAGCAAAGAGTAAATGTGCCATGGTAATCTCATATCGCTAAAGTGTGTAGAGTTTTACCATTATACAAGAGGATATAATATCAGCGAAGCGCGATAACGACTTTATGGGATACATGTCATTAAGCGAGGGATCGACCATTCTTGATAACGCATCGATATCGTGGAGCCTCGGAACAGCCCATCTAACTAGAAATTGCTCTCCCCGAGGCAATGATCTAGAGTTGAACAATTGGGTAAGAACTTGCTAGTTTGATAAGATGGAGAACTAATTATAGGGTGTAAGATGCAAATTCTGCAGCTGTAGGATTCACCTACCGGTCACACGACTTCCGCCCAGTGAGAAGCTCTAGCATTATGACTCCAAAGCTAAAAACGTCACTTTGGTAAGTGTAAGTTCCCGACTCGAATTCAGGAGCACTGTAACCATGAGGTGGGAGGAAACGCCCGGATGACTAGAGTAATAAAAGTCTTATCAGCAACCGCAACGATGCATTTGTTTCTTAAACATAGTTTTATTGATCTAAACACTTTCTCAGACTGACTCGTAGAAGTAAAAATGAATCAAGACTAACAAAAAGTTATAGGATCTGCATAGAAGTACCTGAGTTGCTGAACTTGAAAGCAGTGGAGCCAAGCCAGTGTCAGAGACCCGCGCTTTTAGCTCATTGTCCAGTAGAATATTAGCAGACTTAAAATTTTGGTGCATGATGGGTGGCTGACAGGCCTCATGTAGATACCTGTCTCACAACAATGAAAAAGAGAGATCTCAGCTTCTTACATATATTACCATTGAACTGAAATCTGTCTTTCAAACTAAGTTTCTCTTTTCTGAACAATCAACCAATTCTTCATTCACTTACTCAAGGGCTCTCGCGGCTCCGAGTGCAATCCTTACGCGCATGTTCCATGAAAGCTTTTGATGCATGTCCTTGTCCACGTGTAGTGCGTCATAGAGTGTGCCATTTACGCAATACTCGTATACGAGTAGATATTGTCCATGCTCAGCACAGTAGCCCACAAGCTCGACAATGTTATCGTGCCGAATTTTGCATATATTAGATACAAGGTCGTGAAATTCATCATCGCTCCGGTGCATTGAAGAGGCACCATCCAGTTTTTTAACAGCCAGAAGCTGAAGAGAAAAACAAGAAGCGTGAGTAGGATTTTTGCTGCAATATTCTAACTTGGAAAGTTCAATATGCTAGAGAAGATTTTAACTGTTTCATGGTAGGAGTATCAGCAATTCATTTCAGAGTCATTAAATTATCTTACCCTTCCACTTGGAAGTTCAGCTCTATAGACACTGCCAAGCATGCCTCTTCCAAGAAGATTATCTTCAGAGAAACTATTTGTGTACTGCTGAAGTGACGCGATTGTGAAGACTTTCAAAGAACTAGAGTTTGGTTTTTTAGGTACTCTACTAGATACTTCAGCTGCCACAATTGGTTTCGTGACCTCCTGCATTGAAAGGAGCGGAAATGGGGGAGGAGGAGGCGGTGCTAGGAAGTCATCGCTTATGCCTGAAATATCAGTATCGTCTCTACGAAAACTCGTATGATTAGAAGCATCTTTTCTTTTCCCATTTGCCTCCTGTCTATCATGCAGCCTTGGGGTAAAATCCATTATTCTATCCTTCACTCTGTCTCCATCAAGTGGCTTAAGAATGGTCTCCCTTTGACCTTCACAAAAGAAAAAAAAGTTTACAAAGTCAGCTTTCATATAACATTACACAAGAAGAAAGTAAGGATTGCAAAACTTTTGACAACATAGTGAAAAGTTTGAAGATATGGAAAAATGAGGCTTGTACCTTTCTCCATGTCATCAATTGCAACCGAGGGCGGCTTCGTGGGTTTTGGCTTATATTTAGATGCCATATCAGCGCTGTTCGTGTCTTCTCGATGCTTGCTTCTTCTTTTCAAGCATATTGGCACGAGAAGACAGGATCCTAATGCTACAACTATTACAGTGCCAATAATAGCAATCCACATGATCCGCCTAGTAGAGAAAAAACCACTTGCTCCATCTGATTCAGGAGTTCCTGAAGAAAATGGCTGACCTGAGCCCGTCTGACTTGTTGGTTGTCCCACAGTAACCGGTGCGAGAGCAAATGGTGAAGGGGCTAAAGCAGGCGCGGATGGAATTATCGTAGTATTAAACGGGTTTCCATCCTTTCTGCACGTATAACACCAACATGGTTGATAGGACATAATATATTTTCTAGACAAGGTTAAACAAAGTTAACTTGGAAAGAAGAGGAAAATGAAGTGAGATATGTGAAACCATGAAAATGTATGGGGGGGATATAATGTCAGTTTGGAAAGACAAATTCATCCATGTATGCATTATCAAATTTTCTGTATAAAGAGCTGTGCTAGTAACAAACAGAAAGAGCGGCCAAGTCCTCAAATTCACCTGAAATTTGGTACGCCCAACAACTTTGGAGGTATAGGTCCAGAAAAAAGATTGTCCTCTATATTCCTGCATAGCAGAGAGTAAATGTTCAATTTGAAGGAAAATGGTAACAACATCCATCCACTTCAGAACTAAGATACAATTATCCTTGATTGGGTATTTGAATGTTATGATCGAAGAATTAGAAGGAATCTTTTTCGAGTCCTAAACGAAGTAAGAATAGTACAAATCCGACAGTGGAAGATCCTGTAGAGCATTGAGCATCCCAGAAAGTTGATTGTTCTGCAAATGCCTGAAAGATCGAAAATCATATATGCATATAACTACAGGTAAATGTGAAATATGGAGTAATAAAACCTCTTATAGAGTTTATAAATAACTCACAATGTAGTAAGGGAGAACAAATCAGCCATCGAGGGAGGCAATGGGCCGCTCAAGTTGTTGCCAGACAAGTCCCTAAATAACAAAACATGATCAAACTCTATAACTTGGGAGGCTATCTGAATTAAATGAAGACACTCACAAGTTATTCAAGCCATTAAGCTGCTGGAAGACATCGGGTATCACCCCGGTAAGAAGGTTATTGTTTAACGACCTGAGGGGAAAATTAAGACACCCATCATAATGATGTAACTGGCTAGAAATTTTTTTGTAAAAACTGGCACCAAGATCATGACAAGATTTGCTTGACAACAAACTTACAAGTCCATCAATTGTGTCAGTGAGGCCAGTCCAGGGGGAATGCTTCCAGTGAATTGATTAGCTGATAAAGAACTAAACAATGAAAATTGAAAACGACCATGTTAAATAGTTGCTAAACTTTAATTAACAAAGTTGCTAGACTTTTTTGAACTGAGGAAATTCAGATGTAACATACAAACTTCTTAGTGTAGGGGGCAACATAGATGGAATATTGCCTCCAATATGGTTGTTGCTTAGATCTCTGCTCCATAAAACAGTGGAAAATACTTCATATGAGTATAGATGTAGTTAAGCAATCGGTATGGTGGATGGGGACTCATCATTAAGACCCACATTCACAATGAGATGAAACTTACATTGATATTATCGACTCAAATTGGCCCAAGCTACTGCCTAGCTCTCCTCCCAAATTCAAACCACTGAGCTGTCTGAGGCAAAAGCAAATAATTGTTCCATTATTTACAGAAGGGGAAAGTGAAGATGGCTAATAAAGGATAAATTGAATTCACCTACATCGCTGTTATATTTGAGAATACACATTCAACCCCTTGCCACTTCTCCCCACATGGATCACCTCCAACAAGAATCCACCCTCGCAGAGGAGGGTAGCCAAGAGAAATGAATAATGCATTGATTGCAGCAACTAAAAATAAGAAAATAAGAAGCGAGTAAGAGCAGCAAAAGGCTAGGAGAGAGCAGGTTTTGCACGGTAGAAGAAAGTAAAAATTGTCAGCTGCAAAAGCTAATTTCAAGCATGTTTCCATTACGGTTCTCTTCTCTCAACCACTGCCAAAAGAAGTAAAAAGAAAAATACTCTGTAGGTATCTGCCTTACCATCGCGGAGGTCAGTGTCTCCAAAGCAAAAAGGCTTCAAAGAGACCATGAGCAGCCCAACGAGGATCTTCACGAACAAATTCCAATTTGCACGACCCATTAGCGAAACAGAACTCTAGTTAAATATCCCACTGAAAATTTTCTCGTTTCTTTCAGAAAATGGTCGCCAATGCTTGTCTGAGGCAAACAATCAGCCAATCCTAAGCTCCCCCTCTTGCAAAAACACCATCCAAATACATCAAAACCTCAAGAAACACACCACCATCAAACCCCTAAACTCCGAAGCAACCCAGATCAAAAACCCACAAACCACGACGGAAACCCACAAAAGATAAAAGATGGGTCAGTGTACCAGAGGCCTGGTTCAGCCAAACGTGGTGGATTTCTCCAGAGACGAATAGAGACAGACAGAGAATACCGAAGCAAAGAAACAAATACCAAATAGAGCAAATGCAAGGAGAGAGAAATGGAGGAGGAAGTGAAGGAATGGGCTGTCTCCTCTCCTCTCCTCTCGTCGCAGCTTTTTGTTGGCTTTCTCTTTTCCTTTTCCAAACTTTGGAATTGTGCGCGCACCCAGTTACAGCAGGGATATATCCTTTGTTGAAAGAAAAGAAAGAGAAAAAAGGGGCATGTATGTGTGAGTGTGATGATTCTTTATGGATGTGGAAATTTGACACTTAGCGAATCAGAATTGGGTTTGTTCTTCTTTTTTAAGTTTATCTGTGAATTGAAATTGCAAACGGTCGAAAATTAAAACGACAGAAATTGGGGAGAGTGTCCGGCTCCAGCTGCTGCGGGGGTCCACCTCCACCTCAGTAGCGATCCCTTCTTTGTTAAGGTTCGGCCTTCAACCACCGTAATTGGCGGATCAAAAAGAGTTCTTTTTTATGCATATAATCAATCACACATGAAATTCTTCTACACCTCTACATCCTTCACTCGGGACGGCTAAATTATTTAACTCCATTTCTCAGTTCGTATGCATCGCAGATTTAGGGGCGTTCACGGCGTACCTTCCCTATTTAATCTCACATCCTCCATAAATTTTCCACAAAATTTTGCTGGAATCGAGGTGGGATGGAGAATTAACGGGGATTTACTTTTTTAAATTATTTATCAATTAAATCATTTTAAAAATTAATTAACTAATTGCTTAATTTTTTATGTATAGACTTAATACATATACGTCCGTAAATATCTGACAGTTAAGAGAGAGGAATGTTAAAAATTAAGTCGAGTTATCAAATATTTAATGGCAGTAAGGAGTAATTACTCGAAACAAACCAAATATTTTTTAAAAATATGTATAAATTTTTTTTTCGGGTCTCTAGGTTTCGTCCCCACCAAGAAAAGGAATATTTCTAGACAAATCCTCGCCATTAGATTGACTATTTTGTTTTCTGTTTTTTATTTTCAAAATTTTGTCTTATTAATACTAATCATTTTCTTTACTTCTTTAGATCTATTTTCAAAATCTAAGTCCTATTTTTAAAAAAAATTTGTTCTCTTTGTTTTTAAAATTTGATTAAAATTTAAAATAATAGTGAAAATGTACTAAATTTAGTAATATAAAAAAAATAACGAAATCCTTATGAAAGGGACATAAATTTTTTTATTTCTTTCATCTACTAAAATCATTGATAATATTTTTAACTTTCTCAATTTTATTAGGAGAGAAAAAAAATTTATGAAGAATAAATCACTTCAAATATTTCAAATGATAAAATCAATTATGAACATAAACTATTTAAACATTTTTTTGGATAAAATAGACTATTTAAACCATTAAAAACAGTCTATCTAAAAAAATCTTATTGAACTTTTATTATAAAAGACATAAAATTATTTTCAAAACACTCTCAAAAAAATTCTTAATCCTTAATCATCGTCTCTTTTAAAAAATTGATCATCATCTTAATCATAATAATGATATTACGAAATGTTTATTTTATTATAGGATGCTCTTGTTGTTTAATTATGCAGATAATACGAGGCTAATAAACTATAAAGTATGTTTGAAATGTTGGGTACTAACACACGTGGTGTACATTATTGGTTGGAATTTTCCATACTTTTATGATAATAATGAATAATTAAACCTTTCAACGCTCGTTTCTTGGTTGATTAATGAATATTGCAATTAATTATCATTATTACTAATTTGAACAATAATCTGATGAAATCATCATAGTCTAAAAACTTGATTAAATTAAATCCACCTGCTTTGATTCTTTATATAATCACCCGTTTTTTTAGTTCAATAAGAGGAGGATTCAAACTTCCGACTTCTTTAAGAAGGTAAATAATGTCTTGATAAAAAAATTAAAGAAAAAAAACAACTTGTACATGCCAAAAACTTTTTTTTTTCTTTTTTTCTTTTTGAAAATCCAAAATACATATTTAAACTTAAACTTGTGGATGGGAGGTTTGACGTATAGTAGTCTTGAAGATCACTCAAAGAAAGACGCTAAAAAGAGTAAGTGTTTGGGAATCATGAGTATTGGCAGACTTTTTAACATTTCAATTGGGAAATTGATATACCTCAACCAAACATTGGCCTTTAATTTCCACTTCATTAATGAATGATGCCTCAACCACTGTGCTGATTTGGCGAAATTGCAAATTATTATATGGTTGGTTTTTTAACTTACAAAACACGACATTTGATCAAAATATTTCAGGTTGTTAGGGCTGTTTTGTACTCAATATGCTGTACTAAAAAATAATAATAATAACAATAAATAGCTTAAATTCATCATAAATTTTAAATTTCATTATTTATGTACTTTCTGTTAATTTGACGAAGATTAGATTTTTGTTTGAAAACTGAAAGGGTTTAGATTCAATTTTAAAGAGACTATATATTGAATAAAAAAATAGATACATCAATTTGCATACAATACAATTATGAAATTAGGTGAAAGATTCAATACAAATAACTTTACAAGTTTGATAGACAAATCCAAGTACTCCCACTGAAGAATTTCCACTTAAATTATGGAAGAATTTCTATGATCTCTAACAAGCTTCTCTCTTTAGAAAAAAAAATTGTCCACCCTCTCTCAAGTAAAAGAAATGTTCGAGGTAGAAACAAGAGTATAACCCCAACTGCCAAAATGAACATAGCTATGGGAAAGAGTATATTATAGCATTTTTAGTTCGCGAATTTCTAAAACAGTAATTGACATCTACTCATTCCCTTAAAGTCGGAGGTTCATAATCCGTTTGCAGCATTTTCAACTCAGTTCCTCGTTTGTAGGTAGCCTGATCCCAAACAGCAGCATCATTCCAAAATCAGTGGTGCATATTCATGAGTAGTTGCAGGAAAGATAGTTTCCAAAGTTCCTGATATCATAGGCTTGACCTTGATAAGCCAACCGGAGAATGCTTTCAATCTTGTTCCAATTGAATACATGGTTTGGTTTTGTTAAGAATCAACTGATATCAAGCTCCCTGCTTTAAACATTTTAACAAATTAAATACCGATCTGATGTAGCATTTGATATAATAATAATCATGTCAACTACAAACACTTAGCTTCGGTGCTTAAACAGTTGAGTGTGTTATATGGTAACTAAACAGAGCAAGCCACAAATTGTCTGCAGATCTAACTCTAGCATTGTTGAGTAAATCAATTAAAAGCATTGATGAAACCAAGAAGATGGGTAGTCCTTAATTGACATTCTGTAGGCACCCAATCAACTTGACTGATATTATTCAAATCTATGGTTTCCTTCCTACGGTTTGAAGCCCTCAGAGAACATGAACCCAACCAGCAAACACATTTTATGGATAAATGGAACCTTAGCAACCACTGAGTACAGTATCTAGCGGGAACCGAGACTAGAGCTGCCCCTAATCCTAATTTCAACTCTTAGGAATGCGAAAATGGAGATGTTAAGGAATCAGTAAGAGTTAAGATCCCCGATGTTCATAACATTGGGCATGGAAATAAGTTATTCGCATACATTTCTTATTCTCATGAACAAGACCCTTACAAACTCTATCGTGCAAGAGCTCCCAATGTCACGTCACCAAATAACCGACCAATCGACGAGCAGCCAAATGGCCATTTGAAAACTCCAAAGCACCAGAACTACTCAAGTCACCAGACAATTGACATCTATGATTACTCACTACTCTCTCCTTCAATCGAACCGCAACATTGAGAGAATCTACAAATAATATAGAAAAACATAGACAATGAGTTACATAAATTGAGAGATCTTACAATGCGGTATCTACTCCAGATTTCTCATAGAGAAATCCGTAAATTGGGGTGGATGGGTCCACTAAGTCCATTATTTCTTGATTTTGTTGAGCTATTGGGATTTCACATTTGGATAAGAGTATAGACATTTCTGACAACAGTTTTTGGACGACCAAAATCAGCCTCAGCTCGCCCAAGTTCCTAGATAAGAGATAAGTTTGAAGCAAACAAGTTAGTAAAAGAAAGAACAAACAACCAAACCAATGAAAAGAAAGCATAATAAAATATATATATATATATATATATATATATATATATATATTTCCTGTTGAAGAACAATATTGTTTGCTCATTAACTATTGAGATAGAGATCCCTATCCAGAATCAGTACTGTGAAACAACAGTTACTGTAGAAGTGGTCCATTTACCAAAAGAAAAAAAAAACAAACTTATGCATGCCAAAGGAATGGCAATCCCTATGTGACAACTCCCAATTCCCTCATAGGATGTCTCAGAGCAAAGTAATAAGCTCCAAAATCCTTCCCAATAACAAACAAACACCTATACAGAGTAATGTTAGAAGATTTCTTATTCTGCAATCATAGGAACTGCTATGTTCTGATCAAAAGTAAAGTATCAAGAACTGGAATGACATTAGCGTAAAATCATAATTATATCTCAATTCAAAAAACGGTGACAAAAGAGGAATTCCAACCCTTTCCAAACCCCTAATTTTGTTGCCCAATTTGACATTTCTACCGTTTCCTTTGAAAACCCCATTTCCTCTTTCCATCAATTATTAATTGTATCATCGAGCTGTTCAGTTTTACAAACATCTCGCAATCCTTTGTTTAACTTTTTGGAACCCTATCAATCAATAATTTTATTACCTCTGCAACCAAATTAAAGCAAAGCATAGGGGAGAATACTGAAAGAAGTACCTTGGGGATGTTGAGCATCGAGAATTCGAAGGAGGTCGCTGAATGCAGCCTTCGAGGGCTCGGCCGGCACATCGGAGAGTCCATATTCTCAAAGAATCAAATAAAATTTGGGGCTATGAATTCAAAATATGTAGAATGATAGATCCAAAAGAATAATCCATTCTTTCTGATTACTAGGAAACAAACCAATCCACTCTGCATTTGTACATAAGGCCTCTTTCCTTTTTCTAGTCAAATTATATCTATTTCTTCCCAGTTTAGGTGTCTCCTTCGACTCTACTTTCAAGAAAAGAAAGTCTAAAAAATTGAGTGAGACGCCGGAAAAACAGTGAGCCGCTAGGAACGATGCTTGAGAATAACAGTTAATCGCCGGAAAAATAGCGAGCCGCTGGAAAACGATACCGCCGGAATAACAATAAACCACTATGTTGCTTGACGAAATCAAGAAAATGCAATCAACAAGTTGCTAAAACAATCAACAACGAAATAAAAATGGGAAAAGATTAGGAATTAGTATTTTTACTAAAAAAATTTGTTACATAATATTCTTGAACGGACGACTTAGATTAGAGGCATATGTCAATTACGCTCGTTGCTCTGACTTGTTACATAATATTCTTTATTTGTTTAAACTAATTAATAAATATAAATATTTATCTTAAATGACTTTTTCTTTTTTGAGACAAAAAAAAATCTCATTTTAGCGGAAAATCTAAAATCATAAAATAATAACGAAAATGAAGGTTTGTGAAATTTTGATTCTAAATTGATCCTCAAACTTCTGTAATTTTTATTATATTTAATTGATAAGTATATCTCACTCAAATTTTTAGTCAATAAAAATATCACATCTTTCTTGTAGGAAATAAATTTGTATTAAAAATTTAATTTATTTTAGCTGGGGCTTACTCGTGAGTATGATTTTTGGGCTCACTCGTGAGTAATATGAAAATTTTGGTTGAATGGATAAAACAGAGACATTATCATTGTTGATAGTAACTCACTGCCTATTATCATATTGGACACAAATCAACCGTCTTTTAAGGTTGGTGAAGCTCAAAATCCTTGATTTGGTCAGACTGCGTTGTTTGCCTCAAAATCCTTGTGTAATCAATCATTCATGTATCAATTAGGCTCTTAACCATTTCAAAGAAGTTGGGCCGTGAGACCAGGTTTTGGGCCCAAATCCTAACGACATGTCGGGTCACTGGATCTTTTGATTCATTTTGGGTACAATTAATAACATTAAATGAAATGGTCGTTTTTGTAACAGATATTTAATATTAGATATTTGGCCAGAAGAATTAATTCTTTAAGCTGATTTGTCTGTGACGGTTGCAAAATCACCGCAGATAAAGGTTGGGCATTATTTATTATAATAATTGGTTGTTGGATAATTAATGTGCACTGTGTAGGTTGGCGGACCCATCCACTCCTTTACACACCATTTTTCTTTGTAACTTCCATCTCATGGTCTGCTCTCATCAGACCAACCATTCTCAACTTTAATAATATCCTTAGTTTCATTTAATGTTTCTCAAATTTTCTTATCTCACAGATTTTGTGGCGGACAATACATTTCAAAAAAAAGATTAAAATGGTCACTTTTTAAAAGTATAGAAATAAAAACAAATATTTTGAAAGTTTGTAGATTAAAGTAAATTAAAATTTAAAATTAAAGTATAACTTAATAATAACCCCTATAATTTGACACCTATGATTGTTGCAGTTTAACAGCTTCTTTAATACATTGAAATAATAAGAAACCTTTTTATAGTAGGGATAAAAGTTTACCTTCTAACTTTTTTTATATATAAAGTTTTAAAATTTGGGAAGATAAATTAAAAAGAAAACTCCAAAATCTTTTAACTTTTTATATAAATTTTAAATTTACGAGGAATTAAGAGGGGGCAATTCTTCACTTGAAGTCGAAGCTTACAAGGTTGCTCTTTGAAAGTCAAATTCTTAAACCATCAAAATAGAAGCATTTCAATTGCAGCAATTTTGTCTCTCTAGTTATTTCATTTCCATGTAAATTATACTATGTTTTATATATTAAATAATAATATAAAGAGGTTGCGAATTCGATTTATCATCTTACATGTTGTATTAAAAAAAATTATATTTTTCACAATCAAACATTAAAACAAAATAGGTCAATGTTTAATAAATTTCTAAATTTTTAATTTTGTGTCCAGTAGATTCATAATCTATTTCACATTTTAAGATTAAAATTTTCAAACTTATTGAACACAAAATGAATTTTGAGTCCAATAATTTAAAAAAATTAATACCAACTTTATTAAGAGTTGTTATTTAGTCGGTTTGCGACTTAGTTTTTGTTGAGTTGTTTGTTAAATATATGGTTCGTTAAGTTTATTATTTTATTATCTCTTTTTTTTTCCTTGGGTTTAATAATTACAAGATGGAGATTGGGATTGAACTATTGAGAGAGTATTAAAGTCCACTTGAGTAAAATTGGTCACTCCTATTTAACGTGAACATCTTATTTTGAACAATTTTAAATTATTATCTTTTTTAAGAAAAATTTTCACTCGACTTCTACTTCACCCTATGATAAAAAATTTTATAGTACAACCAATGAGATAATTTATTTGAGATTAAATTTGTGACTTCTAATGCCCATTTGATAACCATTTCGTTTTTGCATTTTGATTTTTTATTTTTAAAAAAGAGGGTTGTTTGATAATCCATTCAACTTTCTGTTTTTTATTTTTTAAAAACTATTTTGAAATTCTATGTAAATTTCAAAAAAAAAAATTGTTTTCAAAAATAGGTTTTTTGTTTTTCAAAATCTCATTTCTTCTTCTAGTACTCAACTTATTTCTCTCTCATATTTATCTTTAAAAAATTCATTTTTCATTCTAAAATTTTTTTATTTTTAAATTTTTCTCCCCAAACTTTATTTTTATCTGTCTAAAATTTTCATATTTTGAATATTTATTCTTATTTGTCTCTCTAGAGTTTTTTTTTGTATTTTTGTTTTTTTATATTAGTTTTATTTCTCTTTCTAAAAATTTAATATTTTCCTAACTTTTTTTTCTGAAAAATTTCATATTTTGTAACTTTTATTTCTCTGAGTAATCTATTTTTTCTTCTAAAAATTATATTTTATTTTCTCATTTAATTTTTTTTCACTATAATTTTTATTTATCTTTGTACTTATTTATTTTATATAAAAATTATATTTTGAATCTTGTTTTTATCTCTAAATTTGTTTCCATATAACTTTTCTCTTTCTATATAATTTCTTTTTTTTCTTTAACATATCTTTTCCTCTCGACTTTTTCTTTTCAACATTTTTATCTTTTTGTCTTTAACTTTTCTTTCACTACTTTTTTTCTAAGTATTTTTATTTTCTCTCTAAAATTTATCTTCCAAAAGTTTATTTACATCTCTATTTTCATGTCTCTACATTAGGGGAAGACAGTAGCGTCGGGTCTCAAAAATAGAAAATGGACGTCCCAGCCTCGTCCCCAATTCCATTTTTTAAATAATTAATATATATATTACACTTTTTTTATATTTAAATGCTAAAACTAATTAAAAACATTTATAAAACCGATAATTTTTCTCGAGGACATCTCTCAGAACGAGGTGGAGACGGAGACTAAAAATTTTCATTTCACGAGCCCCATAATAAGGGAGAGCATCCTCACTCACACCCACACCATGTATTTTCAATTTTCTAACTTTTAAAAAACACAAAACTAAAAATGGTTACCAAACATATTTTGGTTCGTTGTTTTTTAAAAACAAAAAACAAAAAATGGTTATCAAACATATATAGTTTTTGTTTTTTAAAAATAGAAAACCAAAAATCAAAAATAAAAAACTAAAATGATTATCAAACGGACCATAAACAATTAAGAAATATATATGTACGTCGGGTCGGGTTCGTACCCGTAATTATCATTGGAAAACAGCATGGCAAATGGGGAAATTCACGTGATACGGTGGGAAAAAGTAAAATTGCAAAAGAGAAAAATAAAATTAATAAAAAAATCTGCCGCCCATTACCATATCTCACATATATCCAAATGATGAACACAGATCACGAGCCTCAAATTCTAATTTTAATTTACCCACTCATGCCCTCCCATATTTTGTTCCTAACAATTAATTATTTACCTTTTCTTGGACAATAAATCAATTACTATTTTAACATAAGGTAAAAGTATCAATTTTTTACCAGCTGTGTCAATGTTTTCCAAATTTTAAATTTCATTAAAATTCGTTTAATATTTCAATAAGTGTTACCATCTATATCTTACCACTTAAATAAGTATGGCAATTTTTATCTTTTAATAAACTTTTATTTGAAGAATCATTTTTTAAATATTAGACTTGCATCCTAATGAATTATAAAGCATTGATCTAGTATAAAATTTATGTTATCTTAGAGAAATAGACACAAGAATTAGATTATTGATTTAAATTTATGCTGTCTTAAGATATTTTTTCAATGGCCTATTGTGTACATTGATCAACCGTAACTTTATGCAATGTTTTTTTAGAGAATTTTATAATATTTATCGTTTTACTCTTTTTATTTGGTAAATGTGTCCGAACAAAAAATATAGATTTAGGGTTCGAATATAAATTTTACGGTGACATTACTCATTCTAATTGTGCTATGCCATTTTTTACTTTTTATGATTATAATCTAATACAAAATTCCAATATCATTAAAATAAAAGTTAAAATACTAATTTGGTCCTTGTAGTTAATTTTTGTCCCTATACTTTTAAAATGTTAATTTTAGTCTTTGTAATTTCAACTTTGAACTTTAATTCATTTTAGTAATTGTACATCTTTTTTGTTTTTGTATTTTTAAGAAATGACTATTTTGGTCGTATTTTAAAAATTTTAACATAAATTCTACCCATAACGAGAACCTTTTAATATGAAATCATTCTTTTATTGAATGCAGGGTAAATTATAATAGAAAAATGAAATTGGGAGAGCAAAATAATTATTGACAAAAGTTGAAATTACATGCACGAACCCAATATTTGAAGTTTTTAACCTAAAAGAAAAGTATAAAGTTGAGGACATTTTCACGAAAATTGTCGAATTTTTTCGCCTTCTTTTATAGATAGCTATCTTTGCCCCATTTACTCGTACCATCGTCCGGAAGTGATTGATGATTCTGCCCTTAAAAACAATTCATTGACTTCTCACTATCAAGTCTCCATTCCCAAATCTGCCAGCTCGCCGGAAAACTACAATGTCCGCCGCCGTCGACAGGTTTTGAAGCTTTTTGCTTAGTCCGCCCAAATGGGTTGCTGTGTTAGTTCCGGAAATTCAGCTCACAAATTCGATCGCAATTCTGCGGCGGCAGACGAGAAGATTTATGAAAGCAGAGAACCGCCGTCTTCCATGGAGGAAGAGACCGTGAAAGAAGTGCTCACTGAAACTCCTGCTCTGAAACCACCGCCGCCACCCAAGAATCACCCGCCGGACGAAGATGAAGCCCCAAAACCAGTCGCCGATAAGGTCAAGGAGGAAGAAAACGAGATCGAGAAGAAAATTCGAGTAATTCCCACTAATTGTGTTGCAGAACACGCTTGTGAATTCTCTGAAATTTCCAGTCCGAGCGAGTGTCTCTCCGCAGCCACTTTCACCGA